TGTCTTCCTCATTAGTGCTTGTAATTCTAGTTTGAATTGGCTTGTTGTTGAACTTCCACAGTGGAGTTTTCTTCTTGGTTGAGATTCATGCTTAAGATTTTCAAAACAGGGTTAGGCAACTTACAAGCACTCCCTCGCGTGTTTCACTCAAGAATGATTTCACTCACACTTTTTTTTTTTTTCAGTTGATTGTGCCTTGTCTTCCTCATTAGTGCTTGTAATTCTAGTTTGATTTGGCCTGTTGTTGAACTTCCACAATGGAGTTTTCTTCTTTGTTGAGATTCATGCTTAAGATTTTCAAAACAAGGTTAGGCAACTTACAAGCACTCCCTCGCGTGAATGATTTCACTCACACTTTTTTTTTTCAGTTGATTGTGCATTCTTGGATTTTTAATCAGGCTTTAGAAACAAATAAGAACCAAGGAGCAATTCAAGTTGAGAATTCAATTAACAAACCACATTATTCAATAAACAATCCTCAAGAAATTGACACAAGAACCAGCAATATTAAACATTCATTCAAAAATGAAGAATATTAGGCTATGAATGAGTGTAGAAACAAAAAAAAATGAAAATCTAATTTTGTTAAACAATCCTCAAGAAATTGACACAAGAACCAGCAATATCAATCATTCATTCAAAAATGAAGAATACTAGGCTATGAATGAGTGTAGAAACAAAAAAAATGCAAATCTAATTTTGTTAAGAAAAAATTTGGCTAATGGAGTAAGGTGTATTCTAGGCTTATGGTAGCCTAAATGGTTGAAAACAAATAAATAATTTGAGGATGGGTCTCCAAACTTTTTTTTTCTTTTCTTTTTTTTTGTTGGGCGACTACATACAAGGCACCCAAAACATTACTATTTACAAATCAAGCACTCTCTTTCATCCATTTTTCAAATTTTCACACAAATACCAAAGGTCGAGGTAAAACCCCAACCCAAATTTTTCATTTTTATCAAATTTACGATGGTTATATCATGGCATGCTTTAATTCATCGATTTTATAGTTCAAAAAATCACCCAAGTGCTTGATTTATAAATAGCAATGTTTCTCGTGCTCTGTATGTAATTCAACCTTTTTTTCAGGTCGTTCCCTCTTCGTTTTTTTTCTTCTTTTCTTTTCTTTTATGGAGATGTGTTGCTATGATGATATTCATAAATGTTAAAAAATATTCAAAAAGTAAAAAAAAAAAAGAAAGCCACAAACAAAGAAAGAAAATTTAGAAACCCGATCCTCAATCAAGAAACAAGCTTCAACCAATAAAATAAAAACCTATAATCTTTATATTTTTTAACTAATACTTTCAAGCATAAAAAAAAAATAAGAATTAAAAGGATAACAAAACTTGGCTTAGAGCCAAAGTTGTGATACCAAATGATATGAACCCAACCAACAAGGCAAAGAAACCCAAAACCAAATCTAGAATCAAACCCCAATATACGCAAGACACAAGTTTGTTGAATCTTAATATGTTACCTAGCAAGAAAAGAATCAATAATCACAGATAGAAAGTCGCCACACATAGAATCTCAAGAACTGAATAATTCAAGCTAATAAGTTGGTTGTTTAAAAACCACAAGAATTAACTCAATAAGTTTTAAGAAAAATCGTCAATAAAGTACGATTGAAAAGCACTCACAAATTTGTGAATGCTCTTAATTTTTATTAAGATCCTAAATAAACCAAATGTTTAGTAAAATAAAGGATTCAAATTTTGTAGAACAAATATAGTAGAACATTGATAACTGTGCAAGGCCTTAATGATATGGGGCCCACATGTCGCTCTAAAATAAACATGCTTCTCAAAATCACAAATCTGACTGGTTGGCCTTCAAGCATGGCTAAAATAAATGTGTTCTACTCGATGGAACACTTTTAGAGTCGTAATCACATTAACTAAGCACTCTTGGGTTTGTTTTGAACTCTTGTAAGGCCTCCATGTGTAAGTCACTTTGCTAAATTGTTGGGCGAGCCCATTTGAAGCTTCTTTGATATGTTTGACTCTAAATCTTGTGATTGATCCACTTGACAGTGACAAAGGATCATGTGAATGCTTATCATTCTTGAGTGTGGCTCCATTTGCATCACTTAATGTCCAAATTACATCTAATCTAATAAATACACTAAATGGTTGGAACCTTTTTGGTATTGTTTTGCTTCTATTTATTTTACACGCATTTTTTAATCAAGTTTTTTATTAACAAAAAAAAATTGTATAATGCATGATATAATGAGTATGAATATTAAGAGTATGTTTAATTAGTTGGCCTTAATATTTGGTTAACCTTACTTGTACAAACAACTAACTAGATGTAATTAGTTGATTCCATAGAGATTAGTAGCTATGTGGCAAGATTTAAATAAGTGAAACAAAGAACAGAAACATTTTGCTTTATCATAAGCCTCAAACTTAAAAATAAAATCACAGAATTAATAAAAATTCATAGAATTAATTATTAACAGTAGTAAGAAAAACGATGAAGCAAAATCATAAAGGAAAATAAAAACAAGCCTTTTAAGAAAACAATAATAAAAATAATTAGTGAAAAGAATAATAATATTTAAGAAAACTGAAAAAAATTAAGAAAAATAAAAACGAATTTTTTTAGAAATAAGTTAAGAATAATTAAAAGGATAAAAAGCTATTTAAAGTTTAAAATAAAATAGTCAGAAAAAATGGTGAAAAAAGCCTAAAAATTTAAACCCTCTATGTATCCCAAAAGGTCTAAAATCTAGAAAAAAAAAAATAAAACTAACCTAAAAGTGTGTTTTTAACAATTAATGTCAATTTGAACCAATTTTCTCAATAAAACTAACCTAAAAGTGTGTTTTTAACAATTATTTGAACCAATTTTCTTATGTGTCTAAGGAAAAAGACATTAAAGATTTGTCTGAGGTTGGTGCAATTTCTTAAAATGGTCGTTGCAAAACTGTGGTATGGAAATCAACTTCTTAGAGAGTTTTGATCGGAATTATAAATAGTAGAGATGCAAGCCTAATTTGAGAAGAGTATTCATTATTGTTCATCTCCCTCTCTCTGCTCGTCTATGTTCTATTTCTTAGGTGTGATTCACAGACAATCTGGAATTCAACAATATTATATGATGATTTTGTCAGGATATATTTGTCCGTTGCTCACATTGCTAGGCCAAGGTGCAGGACGTTAATTTGTTAATGTCAAGTTAATTTTTTTAGTATTTCTAGTATTTCTTAGCATAATAAATTAAATGATTAATCTCATCAAAAAATTAGTAAAATAAGACCCAAAAAAACATTGTGAGATTTCTTGGAGACCAAAGTTGCAAAATGGCATATATTATGAATATTTTATTAAAAAAATTATGCTTTAATACTCCCAAGTGTGCATGTCATGCATCTTTAAGTATGCAGAGGTGTACTGGAAATGAAAAGTTATTGTGCAAGCTCTATTACATTTGATGAGCAGACCGCAGACTATCCCCCACACATCGAATTAAAGGTGTACTTTTGAATTATCATGTTTATTTCCATCAAATGATTCCTAACAAGTTTCTTTTCTACTAAAATTGATTTAAGACCAAAATCATTGCTCTATGAAAAGTCCACTTTTCATCTCTGCTACTGACCGGCTCCAAACATATTTACGAATTCATGTGCTTTCCTCATATGGATCCAACGCTTCATGCAATCTTGCATTATTCCTATGTCATACTGCTTAGTATTGAATATATTAAAACTACTCCCATAGACGTAGAAGAAGTTACTCTGATAAGGTATTGACTCTGGTCATCATGCCATGGACGAAAATCAGAGCATTTTTCTTCGCAAATTTCTTAAACAAACAGAAATCATAATATTTCAATTTAATAATCAGTAAATCAACAGAAAAGAACCATAAAAGAGCCTAACAATATAGGAAGATAAACTAGAAAAATTCTTCCCACAAAACTTAAAAGAACTCATTTTTGGCTGATTAGGGACTGGACCTCATAACAAAACCTACTTTTTATTGCACAAAATGAACAGTTTCCTTGCTTCAATGCTAAACAATTCAAGCTAAAATTTTCACCTTAAGGGAAGAACTTCTAAAGTTAGGAAGAAGATTCAGAAAAAAAAAAAACCAATAAAAATTCATGGTTACAATCATTTTCTTAAATTAAAAAAACATTTAATTTTTTAAATCAGATCAAATAATGTACACCACTCTATTTAAGTAATCTAATAATGTTAGAATTAAATGATCTTAGATTTAATGAGACGCTCATTTGTTTTGTAAGCATTTAAAATTTAAAATTTTTTTGCTCTATTAAATAATGCTATGAAAATTTTAACCATATTTTAATTACTTGACATAAAATCGTTTGGACTCGAAACAAATCAATTTTTATATCATGGATCTCATCCCACGTAATAATTCATTTCGACTATAAAATTATTCAAATCAAAATTTTAGAATGATCCAAATTCAATTCCAAAAATGGAATTCAAATATTATGTAAAAAATTGTATTTAATATAAGAATTTTTTTGGCAAAATATTAGAGCTAAATCATGATTAAAAAAAATATTGAATTTAATGCCCTCAAAGCTAAATTTTGCTTAACATCTACCCCAAAAAGGATATCAAAAGGTCACATAGACACTAAACAAGTTCTGTTTTCCATAAATTCTCAATATTCAAAAGTGAGTTGGGTGATAAAATTCACATTGAAGTAAATTCTACTATCAGCTAGATCTGATACCTAAAGAGACAAATCAAAGCATAAATTTGGAATCCTAAATATACATTGGAGCCCTTTATGATCACTTTCAGTTTTTCATTTTAACTTATATTTCATTTTATTTGTTTTTCAACTTAAAGTATATTTGGAATCTTAAAAAGTCACACCTCATTTCTCAGAGTATCAGAAAATTGGATCCCAGAAATGAAGAAAAATATAAAGACGATTACATGTCTGAGATTAATCAACCAAAACAAACAACACCCAACAAATTTCAAAATAAAAATGAGACTGGAAATCATGCTTGGATGTGCAACTCAACAGACTGCAAAATCAATAAAACAGTGAAAACAACACGCAAATTTTTTTTACTAATGCAAGCAGACAGTTTGGTTCTATGGGAGCAGTGGCATCAATGCCAAATTATTCAGAAATCGGAGACGGAACAGAAAAAAGAGCCATGAAAATTGTTATATAGAAAATGATAGCTGGAAAATGATAGCAGTCACTTTATCATATCTCGCCATCCCAAATCTCTTCCACACTTTTGTACAAGCCTTGAGGGCTGACAAAGAAATCTGCTCTGATTAACCTTGTCTGCAGGGAAAGAAAAAGAGATGTTAGATATATTTGGATTTTTTATATCGTAAATTTATATCTTACAAAAATAAAAAGGAAAGATATTTGTCTTTCTCAGAACCTTTCTTTTTGTTTTTGAAAAAACTAAACGGCCGTGTGAATAACTTTTGAATTTTGTTTTTTTATTTTTTATTTTAAATATGTTTTTACTTATAAATAAAATATATTTGATATACTATAACATGTTGTTATGGTATAACTTATATACCATATAGGGACAGATGCTGGATGGAAGCGGAGCGGAGCAGAAGAATCTGTCCAAATTGGGAAGTTACGTGGGTTGGGGTGCGGGGCCAAACCCCCGCGGTATGGTACAGGGGTAATGCTGTAATTAGATATTGTGCCTAGGGTTCACTTCTGAGGTTATAAATAGGTCTGTTAGTAACCCCAGGAGATATCCCTGATTTCTATAAACCCTTTTCTGAATATTGAAAGGAAGCCGTCGCTCTGCTCCCGAGGACGTAGGCATCTTTGCCGAACCTCGATAAATCTTTGTGTTCTTCTGGATTTGTTCTTCTGGATTTGTGTCGTTCTCTGGATTTGTGTCGTTCTTATTTTTCTTCGCTCTAATTTTCTCAACAAGTGGTATCAAAGCCAAGTTTGAGGGGAAAATTTTTTTTTCGGCGACATAAGAATAAAAAAGATTTAAGGAAAATTTTTCGGCGACAGGAACGACAAATGTCCTGCCAGAGCTTCGGTCAAAGTTCTGCCAAACAGGCGAGATCTGCGAACTTCGAGCGATAGATCTTGCACGACGCAGGCGGAGGTTTTCACGCGAAGTGGTTTTGGATCGGGGTTCTTTCGCAACGCAGGAGGAAGGCAGTTTCGGGCACGCGAACTAGAGGGCTTCTTCGGCGATGACCGGAAGGCTTCGGTCCAGCGAGTTCGCGAAGATCAGAAGGATCGGGGAGCGGAGGTCTCGGGCAGAAAAGGAAAGGAGCGGAGACAGGAAGGTTTCGGTCCGGTGAGTTCGCAAATATCAGAAGGATAGGGGAGCGGAGGTCTCGGGCAGAAAAGGAAAGGAGCGGAGACCGGAAGGTTTCGGTCCGGTGAGTTCGCAAAGATCCGAAGGATAGGGGAGCGGAGGTCTCGGGCAGAAAAGAAAAGGACCGGAGGTCGCGGTGAGAAGGGTAGAAATGGAAAGGAGCGGAGGTGTTATTCGGACATTTCGGGGAGAAAGAATGATTCATTTTCTGGTGCGAAATTCGAGGTGGTGAAGTTCGATGGAACTGATAACTTCGGATTGTGGCAAACCAGGGTGAAAGATCTGTTGACTCAACAGAAAATCTTGAAAGCTTTGCGGGCAACAAAACCAGATGTCATGTAGGATGAAGAATGGGAAGAATTGCAACAGCGGGCGGCAACGACGATACGACTATGCACGTGAATGGCTTCAATCAAATAATCATCGATTTATCACGACTTGATGTAAGTGTTGAGGATGAAGATCGAGCGATGATTTTGTTGTGTTCGTTATCCTCTTTCTATGAACACCTGGTGACTACTCTGACATATGGGAAAGAAACTATCAAATTTGATGAGATTACTGCAGCAATGTTGGCTCACAACCAGCGGAAACAGAATGCAGGGAAAAACTCTCATATCGATTTATCACGACTTGATGTAAGTGTTGAGGATTAAAATCGAGCGATGATTTTGTTGTGTTTGTTAGACGACAGTTTATATGTTAAGGGTAAACAGGATCGTGGAAGGAAGAAAGAGAAAGAGGGTTCTGGCATATGGGAAAGAAACTATCAAATTTGATGAGATTATTGCAGTAATGTTGGCTCACAACCAGCGGAAGCAGAATACAAGGAAAAACTCTAATGGTGACAATTTATATGTGAAGAGTAAACAGGATCGTGGAAGGAAGAAAGAGAAAGAGAGTTTTGGAAGACGAAATTCCAGATCGAAGTCCAAAAGCAAAAAAATAATTCATTGTTACAGTTGCAAGAAGCCAGGTCATATGAAGTGAGATTGTCCAAAGTGGAAGAAGCAGACTGAGGAGAAAAGTGATACCTCATCGAAGTCTGTAAATTTGGTGCAGAATGATAATTCAAATTGCAATGATGGAGAAGACGAAATTCCAGATCGAAGTCCAAAAGCAAAAGGACAATTCATTTTTATAGTTGCAAGGAGCCAGGTCATATGAAGCGAGATTGTCCAAAGTGGAAGAAGCAGACTGGGGAGAAAAGTGATACATCATCGAAGTCTGTAAATGTGGTGCAGAATGATAATTCAAATTGCAATGATGGTAAACTGTTGGGGAGTACACTTATAGGTGGAGTTCATTTTGTGGAGTCAGATGATGATAATACAAAGTTATGACATATGTGTCTGGGTCATCTCAGTGAACGTGAGATGGTGGAATTGCATAGAAGAAATTTGTTGCATGGTGTTAAAAACTGCAAACTCAATCTTTGTAAGTTTTGTATTATTGGAAAACAGAATAGAGTCAGTTTTATGACTGTAAAGCACAAAACTGAAGGGATTCTTGATTATGTGCATTTTGATGTATGAGGCCTTACTAGGGAGTTGTCATTGGGAGAATCTCAGTATTTCGTTACCTTTATTGATGTTTCTCCAGGAAAGTTTGAGTGTATTTCTTGAAGCAAAAATCTGAAGTTATCTCTAAATTCAAGCTGTGGAAAGCTGAGGTGGAGAACCAAACTGGCAGAAATATCAAGTATTTGAGGTCCGATAATGACACAGAGTACACAAATTCGCAGTTTTAGAAGTTCTGTCAGGAGCATGAGATTCACAGACATTTTTCAGTGCGCAAGACAACACAGCATAATGGTGTGGCAGAAATGATTAACAAGTCCTTAACTGAAAGGACAAGGTGTTTTAGACTGAATGCAGGGTTTCCTAAGAATTTCTGGGCAGAGACTGCGAATATGACATGCTATCTCATCAATAGATCACCTCGAGCATCATTGGGTGGCAAGGTCGCAGAAGAGATATGGACATGTAATCCAGTTAAATTTGATCACTTATGGATTTTTGGTTGTCCTGCTTATGTGCATGTACCTGGAGATGAAAGATCCAAATTTGATGCAAAATCTAAGAAATGCATTTTCTAGGCTACAAGAAAAGTGTTAAAGGATACAAGTTTCGGAATCTAATTACAAAGAAGATGGTGATCAGCACAGATGCAATTTTTTATGAGCTGTTTATGTTACAGCAGAATCAAGACAAGAAATCAAGATAATGTGTCAGAGAAGAGTTCCATTTCAGATGAAGTGCAGATGGATTTAGAACAGCAGCCAGTAGCTTCTGAGAGAGGTGAAAGTTCAAATTCAACACCTGATGACTCTATTCCAAATGATCTGTAGAATTATAATCTAGTCAGAGATAGACAGAGACGCACCAATGTAAGGCCTCCTAGCAGATTGGGTTATGAAAACTTAGTCTCATGTGCATTTCTCATCAGCAACGATGATCAAACCACTTTTTAAGGAACTATCACTAGCCAGGAGAAAAAGAAATGGATGGGTGCAATGGTTGAGGAGATGTAATCTTTGCAAAAAATCGCACTTGAGAGCTAGTTAAGCTTCCAGAGGGAAAGAAGACTATTGGGTGCAAATGGGTCTTCAAAAGGAAACCAACAGTATCAGAAAAAGAAGGGGAAAAGTTCAAGGCTCGACTGATTGCAAAGGGATTTTCGCAGCAGAAAGGGATAGATTATGATGAAATCTTTTCTCCTGTGGTCAGACATACTTCAATGAGGGCAGTGATTGCATTAGTAGCTATTTGGGATTTGCATTTGGAGCAGATGAATGTTAAAACTGCTCTCTTGTAATATTTTCTTCTGTGGTCAGACATACTTCAATCAAAGCAGTGTTTGCATTAGTAGCTATTTGGGACTTGCATTTGGAGCAGATGGATGTTAAAATTGCTTTCTTGCATGGTGATTTGGAGGAGCAGATTTACATGGAGCAGCCAGAAGGGTTCACTCAACCTGGACAGGAGCATCTGGTTTACAGGTTAAATAAATTGTTGTATGGGTTAAAACAGTCTTCAAGACAATGGTACAAGCGGTTTGACTCCTACATGATACAGATTGACTACAGGCGATGTGAGTATGATTGTTATGTTTATGTGAAGAGTCTTGATGATGGTTCTATTATTTTTCTGTTACTGTATGTTGATGATATACTGATTGCTGCAAAGAATATGAATGACGTCCGTGGTTTGAAAGCTTTACTGAGCCAGAAATTTGACATAAAAGATTTAGGTCATACGAAGAAGATTCTTGAAATGGATATTCATCGAGATAGAGACACAAAACGATTATGTTTATCTCAACGAGACTATGTTGAGAAAGTGCTGGAAAGGTTTTAGATGAGCAAAACAAAGCCTGTAAGCACTCCTTTGGCAAATCATTTTAAGTTTTTTTCAGAACAGTGTCCTAAGACAGATGCAGAAATGAAAGACATGACAAAGTTTTCATATGCCAGTGCAGTTGGCTACTTGATGTATGCAGTGGTATGCACTCGTCCTGATTTGGCTCATGCTGTTAGTCAAGTTTGCAAATACATGGCTAAACCTGGACGACGACATTGGGAAGCAGTCAATTGGATTTTTAGGTATCTGAAGGGTACAGTAGAACATGGAGTTATTTTTGGCAGTCAGCAGAATGATCCTTCAGTTGTGGAGTTTGTTGATTCAGACTACACATGTGATTTGGATGACAAAAGGTCTACAAATGGGTATGTGTTTAATCTTGATGGAGGGCCTATATGTTAGAAATCAACAATTCAGTCTATTGTGACATTATCTACAACTGAAGCAGAGTACATGGCAGTAGCTGAAGCTTCTAAAGAAATCTTATGGCTTGCTGGGCTAGTAAAGAAACTAGGCATTGAGCAAGGTGAAGTTCAATTGCATTGTGACAATCAGAATGCTATTTATCTGACTAAGAACCAGGTGTACCATGCGAGAACCAAGCACATTGATGTCAGGTATCACAAGATCAGAGTTGATTGCTTTTGGGGAGATACTGTTGCAGAAGATTCATACTGATGAGAATGCAGCTGATATGTTGACCAAGCCAGTTACTATCAACAATTTCTTGCATTGCTTGGACTTGTTGAATGTTTGCAGTTGCTAGAGAAGCATGGTGGCCCAACCCACAGTTGTGCAGATGTAACTCCCAGGTATTTTTCTCCTAAGAGGCTGGACATTCGCCAAGGTGGAGATTTGTTATGGTATGACTCATATACCATATAGGGACAGACGCTGGATCGAAGCAGTGCGGAGCGGAAGAATCTGTCCAAATTGAGAAGTTGTGTGGGTTGGAGTGCGGGGGTAAAGCCCTACGATATGGTACAGGGGCAATATTGTGATTACATATTGTGTCTAGGGTTTACTTAGGGTTTACTCCTAGAGTTATAAATAGGTCTGTTAGTAATCCCAGGAGGTATCTCTGATTTCTGTAAACCCTTTTTTAAATATTGAAAGGAAGTCGCCGCTCTGTTCCCTAGAACGTAGGCATCTTTTCCGAACCTCGTTAAATCTCTGTGTTCTTCTGGATTTGTGTCGTTCTTATTTTTCTTCGCCCTAATTTTCTCAATACATGTATAATTATTCTTAAATACAACATACGTATTTATTCTTCAAAACTTTCAAAATAAATTTTAGATTTTTTAGTGTTTTTTAAAATAAGTCAATTTCTTTTTAAAAATAAAAATATAAAAACAAGTAAAAAAACATGATTTTAAAATAAATGCATAGACAAAAATAAAGAATCTAAGCGTTTTTTTTTTTCTAGGTTCCAATAAGGCCTAAGTTTTGATACAAATATAATGTAAGCTGCAGAGTTTGATCCTAATATCTCATAATACGCACAAATTGGGTTATAGCTTTCTGGTCTTCAACACAACTATGATTATCTTTTTCAGAGATTTATATTTATGATGGTTTCTTCCACATATTTGATTTCTATAGACTTAAACTAATAATTGTTTTTCAACTTGAGATCTCAGTTTTTCCAATTACGCTATTTACTGTTCTGATATCAAAAACAGGAAAAAATAGACAAATTTCAGCAACTCAATTTACCTGTGGAATGGAGGAGAACTTTCCTAGCAGATCAGCAGGTATAGACCAATCGAACACGTCAAAGTTTTCTAGTATTCTTGATTCTGTAGTGCTCTTTGGCAGTACGCTGTTACCAGCTTGGATTCCCCAACGAAGAGCTACTTGCGCAGCAGTCTTCCCTAATTTCTGGGCAACCTCGGTAATAACAGAGTTTGCAAGCACATTTCCTTCTATCCATCTGGTCCCCGGGGATCCCAGTGGAGAATATGCCTGCACAAAAAACAAAGACTGTGTTTAGAGATAAAGCTCTCAACTGCTGGGCTAACTACGCAACACAAAAAGAAATTAATTAGATATTTACATATATCTCATAGGAATTTTTGCAATGCTTAAGGACCATCTGGTAATAGATTAGTAAATCATTAGATTTAGTAAATCCAGATTTAAAGATAAAACTGAAAGGAATTGAAAAGTAACTGGATTTAAAAAATCCAGGATTTAAAATTTGCCCCCCTTCTGTTCTAACAGAATTAAGTTATAGTGTCCTTAATGGAAGCTAAATTACCGAGAGGTGAACTCCATTGGATTGGCAGAAGGAACGAAGCTTGGTCTGTTGCCAGACGGGATGGCATTCCACCTGGTTGACAGCAGGTGGAATGCGTGCAAAGCTCAGCAAATCCTGCAACTTCTTGGTAGAAAAGTTGCTCACACCGACAGCACGAGCCTTTCCAGAATCATAGAGCTTCTCCATTGCGCTCCATGTGTTGGGTATGTCGGATTGGATAACGTTTTCGCTGCTTAAACTTGACCCCTTCTTGAGTCGGAATGGCCAATGTATCTGGAGTGAGTTGAGGAGAAAGGATGGATTAGAACAAGAATTTATTGGATTGAAATAACTTCCAAGAAAAAAAAAAGTGTTTGAAACTCCATCCAAAAAAAAAAAAGAAAATTGACGGGCATAGTAATTTTGATCATTACAAATGCTTAAGCAGCTATATAAGAAATAAAGATGATCTTAAGTAGTTCCTATCCTATAACTTTATCCCAAATATGAGTCTTTTAAGTATGATTAAAGTTCAGAAAATATACAATATGCAAGTATTTTGATAGATTTAAAATTTTAATGAAATTTCAAGTTTAAAATGCATACATAAATTTCAATATTTTTAAAAGCATATTTTAAAATTCCAATTTATTCGTGAGAAAAATCAGATTATATACAAATAAACCTTAAGTTTAAAGTTATAAGAAAATAATTTATAGTAATAATAATTGCATTGAAAATTAATAAAAATGAAGTATTTTAGTTCCAATGATTTTGATGGCTTTAACTTTATCTGATTTATTTATAACATTACACTGAAACATTACTATACTCAGAGAATAAAGACGACAAAGAAAACAAAAGAGTCAAAGTTATCTTTAAGAAAACAATATCAAAGAACATAGTTTAATAATGACAACCATGTTTCAACAGCTGAATAAAACAAAAAATAAGAAAATGTTATGATGCCCAATTCATAGCCTAAAAAATGTCTTGTTGTGTTGACATTGAATGGAAAGATAAAGAAAGATCCGGAGGAAGAAAAAAGCTTAGGGGCCATTTAGGATAACTTTTGTTTTTCTGTTTTCTTATTTTAATTTTATTATGTAGTGTTCATATTTTGATTTGAAATAAAATATATTTGATATATTTGATTAAGATATGGTTATTTTTTGAAAATACTCAAAATACCTAAATGTTCTTTTGAGTAATTTCAAAAACATGCCAGTTTATTTTTATAAATAAAATATAAAAACATATAAAAAGCACATCAAACAAACAAATTTTGAAAACTAAAAAAAACAAAAATAAAAATCAAAAAATAAAAAACAAAATTGATCCCAAACAAACATCTAATAAACTTTTATAATCTCATGCCGTTCTGTGTTGCACTTATACTCTATGCATCAAGACTTCTTGAGCTACGGATTGGGTGATGTAGCATTGCTCGATCAAAAATTTAATAAAACAGTAAGGAGCTGAAGCAGTAGACATGAAAGCTTACAATATTGCCATACAGAAATATTTACAAAAGATAACAGTATTATGAATAAAAAAATGATAGAAGTAAAAAAATAACAGTATTGTGGGAAAAAAAACCTAAACCCTTGAAACTTCGAAAAAATAGCTTAAAAAAAAAAGCAAGAAAGCATATAAGATTTGAAACAAGAAGTTTGATAAGAAACAAGATACTTTGGAAGATGAAATGTACCAAGTAAAGATCCACATAATCGAGCTGTAGATCTTTCAAAGTTGAATCTATTTCCTTTGCTACATCTTCTGGATCATGGCTATCACACCTGCAAAATAATTGTTAACTTTCTTAAAAGCTGAAAGATATGATGATGATTATAACATACTAATAGCAGCTCTGCTTTTTAGACTGAACTTTGAAATTCAATATTCCAAACACATAGAAAAGATTCCAAATAATAAGCTTTCAATCAAGAATGAAGAATGAAACGAACCAGAGCTTTGATGTAATGAACAAATCTTCACGCTTCACAACACCATCATCAAATAACTTTTTCAAAGACAACCCAATCTGAATTTATAGTGAACTTTATCAGAATTTTCATAATATGGAATAAGAAAAGTACTTAAATTTTCAAAAGAAATGGCCAGGAATTGCAGACCTTATGTTGTCATGTAAATAAGAAATTAAATGTTAAATAAATAATAGGTTTGGAAAATATTTAACAGTGCAATATAAATAGAACAGAAACTTGAAAGCCAATGATTACATAATTTGCATGACCAATGTGTGATGTGTTGGGATTAATGGGAGTCTAACACAGTACTTTTAAATTTAATAGAAAAATGGAGAGATTCAGCACAATGATGGAGAGTCATCCTAATATGTTTACAAGCGATGGTTAGAACTTAAAACTACAAAAAATTAAAAAAATAAAAAAAACAATAAAAAAAAGTTCTAACAAAAAAAAATATTACACTGTTTTCACTTTGCCCACCTAACAAAGCTTTAGAGAAGCTAAACTTAGGGAGTCACCAATACAACCTTGTTTCAGTACCAAGCATGAAGAAGATCAAACACAAAATCATAAAAGTGGAAATTGAATACCTTGAGCACCCAGCTAAAAATATTGCAGACCCTTTACATATCATCAATTAAAAACAAAAAATTTCCAGAAAATATAGCTGCCTCCTAGATGAACTTTTATTCATCTTTTAGACTCAAATCAAGACAAAATATGATCTATATCTGACATTCAAATCAAGGCCAAATAGATCCTGCGGACAAGTTCCTACTACTTCTAACATAAATTGGAAACTTGGCTGTTGTTCCACATGACAAAAGTTTTACATACGAAATTAACCAAGCAAAGATACATGGAGAATCAGCAATAACTATTGGCCTTTTTTTTTTACTCAAGAGTAACTGTTGTTACACTTCAAAAAATTTAAAAATTCAAACAAACCAAAAAAGATCATCTGTGACAGAAGTATTCATTAAAAAAAAAAAGTTTGGCTTCACAGGGGAAATGATGCATTAACAATGGATGGAATACCTCTTTCTCATTTCCGTAAATCCTAGCACAATCGATATGTCTGTAGCCAGCCTGCAGGTTAAATAAACAAAAGTTCAATATGTTAAAATAATGGGGAAAAGAAATAAAGGGCTCTCTGGCATTGGATTTATCCCAGGATTAAAGCGGAATATAGGCTAAAACTTGCCAGATAGTCATTTTGGACAAATGAAGCCGCCGATTTGATAAATCTAGATTTCCCAGATTTTGGCCGTAAATCCAAGATTTATTAAATCCCAAGATCAGTAGATTTACGGGATTTACAGTGCAAGGAAGTTGAGAATGCAGGTGAGAAGAATGCGATAGGTTTAATCTTGCCAAATACTTTTATTAGATTTAGAGAATTTAGTAAATCTATTGCCAGAACAGGATAGTAAATCCGGTACCAGATTTACTAAATACTAATAACTGAAATCTAATCCGTTGCCAGACAGCCCGAAAAAGCATTAGTTATTCAATCACAACAAGATGAAAGACTCGCAAATAAGGCAGCCTTCTATTGATAGTCATAACGACAAGTCATGCAAGACGCCAAAATGTTCATCCACTAAAAAATAGGACATAATTACTACATATCCAACGCATTAGGTGAATGTTTCCCTCACATCCAATTCCGGTATCGAAAGCTATTCTGGCGAATGCGATTCAACGAAAGTAACACATCTCTTCGGGAATTGCTCAAAATACTATCTGTGTTCTTCCATGTGTTATGAATCGAGAAAGTATTTCAATTTTAAAAAACATATATATTATATACAATTGATGAGAAATATAAGACACATAAATTTATATATAAATGTAGGGAGTAGAAGAAAGAGGACGAATGGGAAGGCTGGAGAGAGGATAATACCTTGATAGCGAAGGCGACGGCTTCTCCGACCACTCCGGGTTTGGCCTGCCATGTCCCGAGCCCTACTGAGGGCATCTGGGCACCGGTGTTGAGCGTGAAGGACTTGGCCATTTTAGTCTTTCTTCTCTTTTACTCGTATCCTCTCCTACCCTCTTTGCTTCAGTGCTCTGGTAAATTGAGAGCGGCTTCATACGGTATATATAGATTGAGAACTGGGCGGCTGGGCCGAACTGGCCCCACGTCTCTATCATCGTCTACACAGCTGTCGTAAGCGCATGCGAAAGGACTCGAATATTCTGCCAGGAAAAGGAGAAGGAGCTGAGACAAGACCCACCTTCAAGTCTAATTATTGCGTGCCGAACGCAATAATCGCTCCACCTCCAAGGGTTTCCTTTTACTTTATCTCAGCCGGGCTGAGCCCTCTCCAATGACGTTTATTCATTCTTGTTCAACCACCTCCAAGGGTTTCCTTTTACTTTATCTCAGCCAGGCTGAGCCCAATCATCTTATTTATTTAGGCTCTCAAATCGGTTCGTTGATCGCAAATAACTTTTGTTCAATTCTTTAAGAAGCTCTTATTCGACCGTTTTCTAAGTTAATCAATCAAACAAGAACAACACGAACAAAAAATTATTCGTTCATGTTCGACTCGTTTTGACTGGAAATACTACTAATCAATTATATA